GAAAAGGCTGTAAAACAAAGTTGCCTGGTGGACATTCATCCTCACAGTTTAATGAGCACTGTAGAAAATATTGATTTTGTATAACTTCTCTGTATTGCTTATAGTGAACTGGGCTACATACTCAATGGATGTAACTTACTAAAGCTCCTGAATTTATGCTGATTTTTAGTTGTGAAGGATCCAGACCAGATTCTTTATACTGAAGCCACAGACCACCCTCACCTGCCTCCTACCCCCAGCATAAGACTGTATCTGTAGGTCCCATGACATTAAAAAAATAAAACTCAAATTTCAGTGTTTTCCAATACAAATATGAGAGAAATGAATTCATATTTTAAATATTCTTATGGCATCACATGTGATATAAAATCAAGTTGCAGATTTACCAAGCAGCTTGTAAAATATTTACATAGCAGCTTATGAAAAGTGCAGCTGTAAAATGGTCCTTATGCAGGTTTATAAAATATAAAAATGGATTGGGTGAAAAAATCCTACTGGGGACAAGTGAGTTTAACTATGAATGCATGCTACCTATTATAACCTAACTCACTTGACAAGGGACAGAAGAGAAACATGATCCAGATGTCAAGAAATGAATGACAAAGGCTTGCCCTTCTTGGATGGACAGGGACACTTGACCCCTGCCCTTCCGCTTTACAATGTCCCACAAGCTCATGTTGATCTTCACCTTGCCATGTATTGCTGGTACTATCAACGATAAAGCACATGGCTTCATCCAACCAAAAAAGCATATGGTGAACAAATCATGGAAGGAAGTCTGCTCATCCTGGCCTTGACATTGTGAGCGCTATGGACATGATCCAAACCTAACTGGAGTCAATGGATAGTCTCTCAATGATGTCCATAGAACTGGATCTGGGGGTCTACGGCCTTGTATAAAGCATGTGGACCTAAGTCCTCAACAACAAATATTTAAAGAGGTGCCCTAAACCCTTGCTGAAATCTACCCATTTCCCTAATATTTCAGCCCACAGCTGAACAAGAGTGGGTACCCTCCCCTACTTAAGGTTAAAAGGCTATTTAAATGCTTTGTTGAATCAAGGCCTCATTATAATAATTTTCTGTCCAACTCATCACTTTTAAGGGTGCATGAAGCTTCATTAGCCAGGACAGTGTGGTTCAAGTTGCTGCCATTTTCAGCAATGGGGCAGCTAAATATGAAGGTAGAGGAAAAGACCCCAAAACTCATTTGAGAGGATGTGGCAGATATATGCCCATCTTTATAGCAGCCTCATGAGCATCTCTACCCAGTGGCTAGTTACCCTAGCAAACACTTCACTGTCTGAATTGCATACTCCCTCAGCTGCTTTTACATTGAAAGGAGCTTTCCATCCTCTCATCCACCTTCCCTCTTTCTGGCAGTTTTTTCTCTGCCTTAGGATTAGTTCCCATAGTGAGTTGTTTTCTTACAGTTGGCCAAATGCTCAGCTGATATACAGTGGTGTGGCACATCCCCAGTCAGAATCTGGCCCATTAGGTTTATTTAAAAAGCTCCTCCTCATGCTTTTTGGAAAGTACGTCAACTGAGATACTTAGGCCAGAAGAGGAAATTTGTCCTAGTTTGTCTAGGAGGTGGTTTGATTGTAGGACTAAGAAATTTGACTTTGGCTTTATTCATTGAAAGAGCAGATAAAACATCTCCCTTAAAGAGAATAGTTGTCTTAAGCAAGGGGCAGGTTTCCTCACCTTTTTACTGAATCAGCCTAGAATCATTTTCAAACTTCAATGAAAATAACTGCAATTGTCCCAGGGATGCACACAGCTGCTCACCATTGCAAACTCACTCTTTCTCAGCACCTTTCCCACATCAACTGTCCCATTCTCTACTATCCTCTCCTGTATTTGACCTCAGAATGACTTGGAAGTCTTATAAGGGAAATTTTGAAAATACTGGAGTGGTATTTTTAACTTTCTTGCTCTCACTAGTCCTCTGCCTTCCTAAATCATGGAAAAAACAATTAAAGATAATTTAAACAAGAAACAGATTCCTCCTCCTCCTCCTTGCAGGAAGCTGCCTCTGAAGTGATCTCTAAATCTCTTTAAAGAGCCTGTCTTTCTTTCCTGTGACGCACTCAAAAGCGTCACTTTGAAGCACTTCTGCCATCTTCTGTATTCAAGAACAGCAGCTTCCTTCTCTACTCTCCTCTCTATAGGGAGGCTGTAAACCTGAGGATGGTTTAGAGAAAACACTTTTCAAAGCTGTACGTTGTTCTCCCTTCTCTGTGGAGAAAGAAGTCTTGTACTTTTTTTTTTTAGCTGTGCACTCATGTGCTTTGGTAAATTAAGATGATTGTGAGCATTCTCTTTTCCTAGCCCTCAGCACGTTAGGTCTTCTTAAACAGGCCTGCCTAGCTTTCCATTATTGCCAACCCCTTTATTTTATGCCCCAATGAGAAATTCAGGGTATATGACACCAAATTGCAACATCTATGTTTCTGGTACATTGGTTCTACAAGGCAGCAGAACTATCATGAGTCTTTATTTTGATAATCATTACAAAATGTACAAGAAAACATTTTGGCAGCTAAACACTGCAGGTTGAGCTGTCTAGTTTAGTACTGCCAATCCAACACATTCAGCAAGCATGACTCAGGTCACCAAAAATCATGAGAGATTAGCTTTAAAAAAACAAAAAACAAAACCCCAAAACATTCCTAGTTTTGTTTTTTGGTTTTTTAAAATCCTTCTGCTCTCATGCTTTTTGGATTCCTGTCAGCAAGCTTTGCACTGTAAATAAAAACAGAGATTATCATATAATCACATGGCTCCAAGGGCTGGGGCTTTAAGAAAAAAAAAAAGAGAAAAATTTTCAAGAAAAAAATCCTGAAAATTGGCAATGGCACATTTCAGAAAGATAAAAATTACAGATGCTTTCTGTTTCTTGTAAACAGAACAGACTCAGTTCTTTCTTCAGGTATACAGATTGTATTGCCACAAACAAGAATAGCAGGCTTTGAAAGGAATATATAACAAGTATAACACCCTTCTAAATATAAAAATCCCAGTGGTTTGAAAAGGCTGTAAAAACCCTCTCGTCACAAGGCCTGAGACAATCCTTAATTACTGGGGCTTAAGAAGTTTTCCCATAGTTAGGGGACAGTTTATTCAAGAATTGCTTCCACAAGGTTTTTTAAATCTGCCTCTCAGGCAGATGTTTCAGGCAACTGTCAGAGGTAGGACATGGGACTAGATGGTTTCTGGGTCTAATTTAGGTTGGCAACTGCTATATTCCACATAGGCTACAAAAAGATTTTTATCTTGAGATGGACCATTTAATCTTGAAATGAAGCGCAATCATTCAGGTGTCCATCTCCATTGTCTCAGGATAAATTCTAAAAAGGTTTATATGGTAATGAGTATGAGCAGTTTATTCTGGGACATTGCAAAGTATGCCTCCAGGGTTATCCTAGGATTGCATCACTGAATCAATGGCAGAAAAACAGTGGGGCATTCAACCACTATTATTAGAAGGGTGATGTGTATACATGCCAATTGTATTATATTTTTGTTCTGGCACAAACACAGGCACAACTTGCCCAGGGACAAATACAATGTCTGTTTTTTGCCACAGAAAGCAATGGTATAACTTAGCTGTCTTTGGTTAGGGGCCTTGGTTAGGACAGCTCTACAAATCTTGCATAGCTATGTTTAAAGTCTACAGGGTGAGGCCAAACATAAACAAAAACTGGGCATCTTAATTCTCTGTTCCAGTTATTTATATTCTGCAATCTCAAAGAGACACTTCTTGGACGCAGCCAGACAAGTGCAGATGTGCAGTATGCAGTGCTGCAGACCCACCTGTAGTGCCGCACATAACACGTGACACATACAGACATTCCCGGCACTGCTAATTTACAGCACGGGGGATGGTGGATGGTGGTGACATTGGGAAATCCTCATGTAAAAAAAACCCCGCGCCTTAAAGAAGTGGGGAAGCACACAAGGCGACAGAGCGTGCCACTGGAAACCGGAGTCTGGCCAGCCAGAACCATGTTCTGGCTGCCAGCCAGGCTCCATGTTGCCGGATTGCCACAGCTGCAGTCCCTGGAAGCCCCCAGGATCCCACATAAGTCTGCTGGGGCCATCCCAGGTGCTGGCCCCAGCCTCCCTCCACTACCTAGGGCAATGCACCACACACCAGACCATGCATACACAGGCATTTACTGGGAAGAGGCAGCAGTGACAAGTGGGAAACCGCTTATGGGGACAGCCTTTGAGTGTGATTTTGAGCCCCCATGCAAGCTCAGCCAACAGGGAGCTCTCTGCCCACACAGCCTTCAGCTGCTTCAGAGACCATGTCTCCTATGCAATGATCCAAGTCTAACCCAAACAAGCCAATACAAATTAAAACCACCCCTCACTTTATTAGTTAGAAAGCATGCAAGAACATATAAGAAAGGAAACTGCTTATGCAACTCAGAGAAGGGCAGCATCAGAATTTCACAGCATGTGGCACAGACATCCAGCTCTTGGTTCAATGAAAGGCATGTCCAATGTTGTCTTTCTAGCTGGAGCACATCATCATTAGTAGTGGCATGTCATTAGAGACAACAACATACATTTCACTTCACTGATATGCATGCTACATGCCAAAAATTCAGTGACCTTTGCACCTTTCTTTTGGACAATAATCCCCCTCCCCCTGCTCAGTGACAGGAAGCAGGATTTGATGCAGTGTCCAGCATGCAAGTTACATGATGTTTGGTTTTATTATGACACATGACATTTCTGGTATGTTGTCTGGGTCGATCCATGATGGAATAATATGTCAGATTTTCCACTGGGACCCTGCTCTTTTGGAGAAATACTCTGCTTCAGAAAATGCTATTTTCAGTTGTTGAGATAGACAAGTTGGGTGCAGAGGTCAGATGAGAAAGCAATTCCAGGCCAATACAAGAAAGGAAGAAAAAGGCAGACTTTGCACAGAAAACATGGAGGTAGGACACCAAATAGGAGCCAGAGTGGGTGAGAACACTGACCATATTAGGCTCGGATAGGCAACAGCACGCAGGGAAGAAGCCCACCCACAGCCATGATCGCAGCAACTGAAAAGCAAACAAAAAGGCCCAGGATAAGGTGTAAATCCCACTGCCCTGGTCATGCGCAAATACATTTGCAACATTTTCATATGCTTTTTTCTTTTCTTTTTTTTTTTTTACAGTATTTGGACCTCAAAATAGCAGGCTGCAAGGCTGTCATTGCAGGAGCTATGAGCCAGGAAAACCCCTTTGAGATACCATATGGCTCTGATGCAGCAAAACATTTAAGTGTGTGCTTAACATTACTTACTTGAGTTATTCCACTAGAGTCAATGGGGTTACCCAAAAACTTCTAAGTTAAACAATTGCTCAAGGACCGGATTTAAATCAGGTGTTGAAGTGATTGTTGTTACTCAAATCGTGTTTGGCAGAATAACTTTCTTTATTTAATCAATGCAGCATTTCAAAGGTGCACGAATTTGCGCCCAGGTTTTACAAACATTTATGTATATGAATGATATTATTCACTCACACTGACCTTAGTGGGACTCCTTATTTGAGCAAAGTTAGGCACATGTAATAAGTGTTTAAGGGATCAGGGCCTTAGCATGTGTGTGAGCAAATTTCTGGGGCAGCCTTTCTCCTCAGTAATTTGAATGCTATTCAAAGACCAGAAAACCACTCTGTGCCTATGCACAGCTTATTTTCAGACCAGTAAGGCATTATTCTAGCCTAATCAGAGTATTAAATCTTTTTGGCATTAGTACATTACTTGAACCTGGATGTAATTCTGAGTTCTCTTTATCCCTGTCATACCACCAGCACAGAAGATTCCCTTTGCTACTAAACATCAAAACATAATGCAATAATTTAAGCCAGAAAACAATATAAGCCAGGAGAAAGATATAGAGCCAGATCCTCAACTGGCATAAATGAATATAGTCTCACTGTTCCAGAAATGGCTGGTGTCCATTGGCTTAAAGTTGTGACTCACTGGGTGTGTCTACACGTGAATATTAATGTGATGCAATAAACTCTGGTGCACATTGCACCAGAGTTTATTGCTCCCAGATACTCATTTACACATGTGCCCAGGATTGCAGCATGGTGGCCAGGTCAAAGCAGCCCTGTCTGGCAGGGGGCCCGGGGTGTCAGCCTGCCAGCCCAGGGCTGCTCCCCTAGCTCAAAGTGCTACGGAGGGGCTGGCTGGGGCATGATGGTGCTTCAGTGTGAGGCTAGCCAGCAGGCAGCACTGAAACACCCTTGTGTCCCAGCCAGCTGGGGCAGTACCTACATGTGTGCTGCTGTGGAGTTTTTTACTCTGTAATAACAAGTACTATTCTTCTGTGGAGTAAATTATTTTCCTCCAGCCTAATAGGGGGCGCACGTGTAGGCACATGCCATTTAGTGTGCAGCTAATTAGTTTACTGCGTAGTAAACATCTCATGCAAATGCATCCATTATTTCTCACAAAATCATCAGAGCATGCCCTTCTCTTTTCATTTCATTCCCTCTTTAGAGTTGTAAAGTATAAAATGTAAATACCTAAACACATAAAAGAGACAGACTATTTTGACAAAATTAACATTCTACAATTGCATTTAAGAGATGGTAATGCAAAATGACTTCAGGCATGGAGCAATTTACAGAAGTACCTGCTCTATTATGTTCTTTCTTAAACCACAGCGTGGGGAAAAAAAGTCTCTCCGTACTTCTTACAAATTTTCTATCAGCAAAACAACTTACACACATCCTATAAGAAGTGTTGCCAACTCATGTTATTTTATTGCAACACTTGCAATAGCAGGTGTTTCTGAATATACTAGTTGCTGGAGTAATCTGATTATGTGAGAGCCTCAGCTTTCATTGAATATATGATGTATATTTTATTTCTAGTAAGCTTTGAGCCCTTACAGTTGCAGAGAAAAGCTTGAAAACAAAAATGTCAAAGGTTCAAGAAACAGAAATCAAATAAAAAGAACACAGATGTTTAATGATTTTTGAAACAACCCTAACTTAGAAGTGTTGAATATGAGGTGTTGGCAATGTTGTATAAGATCTATTTAAACCAGTCCATTCTATGATGATTCTCTTTCTGTCTCACACATACACACACACACTTCCCTCTATTATGTTCTTTTTTATAATGGAAAATAAGACTCCATCCTGCAAGAGTCACTGGCCAGGCATTTTAAAACTGCTCAGCACCTAGAATCAAAGCTCTATTTTGAAAATAGGTCATTACCATCTCAGGCACCAAAAATGACAGCATTCTCAGAAACATAAGCATGCTGGGTATTGAGCTTTTAAACGAGGCCCAGACTTTCATTAGGTGCTTAGAGCTGAGCATTTTGGGGAAAAAATAGCCCAGAGTTATAAGGTCAGAGAAGTTAGTCAGGTATAAGCGAAGTTAGAATTTGCATCTCTTTTTAATTCAATTTGCATACAAAACATTAATTATGTTTTTAGAAACACACTGCACAAAATTAAGAACAAACCAAATACAAAAGACCTAAGACCAGATCTTATTCCACATCTTAGGTATCTAACTGAAATTAGATGCCTAAGTGTTACCCTATTACTATTTGCTGAGGTTCCTGAATAATGCTTAATGCAAAAGATGGATAAGCCCTCTTCCTTGACGTTTTGTGTGACAATCTGAAGGCTAAAATAATGGTGTATTACAAAAGAAGACATATTTATAGTTTTCAGGAACTTAACAACAATGGAATAGATCACACTTAGGGACATAAATCCACTTAGGCAGCTAATGGGTGGAATAGGATCCAGTATACAGATCTTACAGAAAACATATAATTTTCTTAAGAAAAGAATTAACTTTGAATCCCAGAAATCAGGGAGTATAAATGCCTCAACTAGGTAGTTAACACCAAAAAAAGCTTTAGTACTAATAATGTTCCAATGCCTATTACCTTGGTGGTGAGGCAAATGAAAAACCCAACTATTATATAATAAATACAGATTAAAGTTTAAAAAGAGGCAAGATTCAAACACACCTGCATCACATCCTGTCCTGGAAGTCACTAACTATGGGCTTTGACAGACGGTAGGGGATAGAGTATAATGATATGTTTCTCAACTCCAAGTAGAATATTCTCAGTATGTAAACTGAGAGCCTAACAGCTTCTCAGGAGAGCTTAACAGCTATGGTAGAGTAAGAAACCATCCTTCAATGAAATATACCCAGGCCTCAACAAGATTTTACAATCTTCCATCACCCTGAATTCTATCTGGGAACAGCCCAAGAAGAGACACAAGTACAGGTGCTACATATCTGCTTAGGGAGGTGGATTGTTCAGGTTGACTTCACAGACTGATTTAGGGATGGCATATTGGTCCAGAGTCATGGGGTGAGGTGACCAAACAAGGGTCAATTGCACCTGTGCCAGGCTCAGCCCATCTCCATAGTTGGAGGCAATCAATATAAGGTGTCTAGTGACTGAGAGCCAGGCCTGCTGCTAGACATAATGAAGGGTGGCAAGTGGTCAGTCAGGATAGATGTAGGGGAGTGGGAGGTTTGAATGAAGCATGTGCTGCTAAGGACCTGGGAGGAAAGACCCACAGGGACTAGAATTAGCTGGAAGACTGGAGTCTGGTGAGAACATACTGAGCTTTCCCTCTGGAAGTAGAAGACTAAGAGTCAGATCCAGAGAAGGGCTTCAGTGCTAAAACAAAACTAGGGAATATTTTGGTGCTTACATCCAAAAACCCTGCTCGTAGCTGTGGAACCCTGGAGACACTTAAATTCATGAAGTGCTTTCTTTTGGCCAACTACTGTAACTTCCTCAGCCTAACAAAGGGTTTTTGAACCTGAAAGCTTGTTTAAATTTTTTCTTTCCAACTACTTAATTGGTCTAATAAAAGATATCAGATTCACCCAAGGAACCTTGTCTTCTTTTGGCCCTGAAATTCCCTAAATATGCATGGGTCTGCTTGTTCTCCATGTACTATATTGCTCCACTCCAAGCAGTAGCCACCTGACTACTGTTTAAGGTCCATAGGGATCCACAAACTAGGTGGACAAGTTCATAATCCTCACAGAGAGGCCATTAGGAAAGCTCAGAGCAAATCAATTAAAAAAGGATGTGGAGAAGCTTGAGAGAATCCAGAGAAGAGCCACGCACATGATCAGAGGTCAGGAAAACAGACCTTACAACAACAGGCTGAGAGCCATGGGACTCTTAAGCCTGGAAAAGCGCAGGCTCAGGGGTGATCTGATGGCCACCTATAAGTTTATAAGGGGTGACCACCAGTATCTGAGGCAAGGTTTGTTCACCAGAGTGCCCCAAGGGATGACGAGGTCCAACGGTCATAAACTACTGCAAGACCTTTTCAGGCTGGACATAAGGAAGAAATTCTTTACTGTCCGAGCCCCCAAGGTCTCAAACAGCCTGCCATCGGAGGTGGTTCAAGCACCTACATTGAACACCTTCAAGAGCAAATTGGATGCTTATCTTGCTGGGATCCTATGACCCCAGCTGACTTCCTGCCCTTTGGGCGGGGGGCTGGACTCGATGATCTTCCGAGGTCCCTTCCAGCCCTAATGTCTA